GAGCTGTAGAACCAGATGAAACAGATGTTTTCTCATGCTGTTGAAAGAACAGGATTCAGTTCCTGAAGGACTAGTCATTACCTCCAAGAAGGCTATCCCAGTAAAGTGGAACCCCTTTGTCATACAAAATCCAAGAATGCTGCTGTGGGTTCCATGTGTGACATACAGCTTTGCTCCAAATCCTTCAGCCAGTAGCAATATCAGCTTTAAGCTGACTGTTCTTCCTGAACTGTGGCTATAGCTGATTAGTTGCTGCTTCTATCATTACAGATTTCAGCACCCTTGGAGGGCTTTCTGTGCACTGTAGGAATGCAAACTGTATCTGATGTATCCATTTGTCCCAGCATTTTATGGGATGAGACAGAGCCCGAAGCACTCTAAAGCAGGCAAGCACCTTTTTGAAACAGGTGAAGCAAATGTTCTCCAAGCACACCCTCTGTGCATTGTCTTCCTCTGGAAAGGAGGAGGCAGTTGTTCCTGCAATTTGCCTGTCTCTGAGCAGTCACTCCCCTACTGCTTTTTCAGGGCTTTGGGATGTTTTTGTAAAGAAAAAAAACATGCTGTTGCTCATACTAACAATTGCTCACAACAACTGTAACATCCTTAGAAGGCTGGGGAAAAAAACGGAGAAAGAGGTAAAACAGCTGAGTATCATTTAATGGAAATAGCAGTCTCTTTTCCTTAAGAAATGGCTTTGTTTTTAAATTGACACCTGAGGTATAAAAGTGGCCCACAACCTCCACACTTTTTTTCTCTAACTTCCACTTCAGTTTTAACATGCTGCCTGCAGTGATGGTCCCTGAGGAAGTACAGCTGAGCTGCCCTTGTATGGCTGTCACTTCTTCAGACATCAAAAGAAAACCAGAACTGAAACTAGTCACAAGCAATTCTCCTCTCACTTTCTTGAAGGTTTGCTACACAGTTTAGCTGTAATCAGTTGTTAATGACTTTCTATTTTCTTTGTCAGTAGTTCTTTTGCTAAACTAAACAGAAACAAACCTTTGATTTAATTTTGAAATGTTACAGTCACTGCAGTCAGAGGCTTTCTAACACTCTGCATTAGAGCAGTGTTGTTTACAAACTGTTGGAAGATGAGGTCTACTAGATTGCACTGACATAGTCCACTGAGCAGAAGCTCCTGAAATTCCTATTTGACTTTTACTAAACCTCTGCTTTCAAGAAATCATGTCCTCAGTTGTTAGCAGTAGTATGGGTGCAGACGCATCAGAGCAGATTGCTGCAGCAGCATCTATGTGCTACATCCAGTTAGATGGCTGCAGCCTATCTTGTTCTTCCTTGTAATTTTGTTCTTCCTTGTAATTGTGCTTCTCTATCAAGGCTCTCTTGGCAGGCAACTGCTACAAAAGTCAGGAAGTTGTCCAACAGAAGACAGAACAAGAAGACTTTTCTCTCCTAACCCTTTCCTTATTTGATTAGCTGCAAAAGTGCTTTCACCTGCACTTCTTTTCTAAAAGGTAGTGCTTTTAGTTTTGTCACATGGAAGGTTCTTGAGAAGTGGGTAATGGGTACATAATAGAAACAAACTTATAGCTTGGGACATGAAGGACTGTTCTGTGGAACCAGTTTAACTGAGTCTTATCTCTCCAGAAGATACCATAATTCATGGTAAAACAGTTAAGTACAGATACTCAAAATCTCCTCCTGGGCACTCAGTGCTTTGTTTCATAGTAGCAGCTGGGAGACATCTGCTGGGTATGTTTTGAATCAAAAGAGGGAGGAAAATGTGGCGTAAGACAGGATATTACTGATTTATCTTCTCCCTTTGCCTTTACAGTGGTGCCTTCAGTTTCTTGGGTGTAAAGCCTCTGGTCAGTTGCTGTGATCAGAGCCCAGGTTTGAACGGTGGGTACAGTAACCAGGGCTGTGCTGTGCCCCTGTGTATTCTCCAAAACTCAAATTGTTGGGTAACAGTGCAGGTTCTCAGCTTGTACTTGCTTGACTTGAACCAGGAGAACAAGAGCTTCCTAACTACATCTTAACTCAAGCTGCACTAGAAATGCATAATCAAGCAATGAATTATTACTGCTTGTACTGCATTGGAGGGTAAAGCTTATGAGAGACAAATCTCAGTTTTCAAGCTGAACAAGCAACACCATGCCAGACATTTAAATCATCCAAAAGTCTTCTCACTGCAAGGTTATTCCAAGCTGCATAGAGCCAATAAAGAACTATAATGGATACTAGGACAAAGGCACTTTATGGAATCAGGATTCAGATTTGTCTTACAGACATGCCACTACCTTTTTTTCTAGCATGCATGAGGTACTTACTGCAGTGATCTTGCAGCCAGTGGTCACCACTGTCACAGGATCTGAGCTTGCCTGTTCACCATCCTTTTGGGCAAAAGAAAGTTCCATCACCTTTTGCAGAGGAAATAGCTCTCTGCACAGGTTATTGAGTAAAGCAGGGTTATGGTGACAGCCCATTTTAACATCTGTCAAAGTTAATGAGCAAAAGGCTGGGAGTAGCTGTGGCCCTCCTGGCCACAGACTGCAAGGGACAGGCAAGCTTTGCTCAGGGAGGTGGAAAGACAGTGGCTCCTGGAATAGCAGGGCAAGAGCACTCTATCCTAAAGCAGAATTCTAGGTAAAAAGGATGCACACTAACCCTTACTCTCATCCTAGTCATTACTTCTGAGTTGGTTGCTGTCATCTTCCCACCTTCCCACCACCAGTGGTGTAGTGATTATGAGAAAGGACAACAAAAATGTCTTGTACAAGGGACTGGAATGTATTGACTTAACAGTGTGATCTGTCTAAAACTGAGGGTACTAAATGCCTATGAACCAGGATTTTAGATCTTGGTTAATGCAACATGTCATTCAAATGGGAATGTTTAAATGTGGTCAAAATAAACAGGTGCCTTGAGCTGGTCCATCATTAGATTGTCATCCCTCCTTTTCTTTATCTTACAGTATTTTAAGCCCTTCCAGAATGGATTGTAAGTTGAAGCCAGGATAAGTGTTTTCTTGAGTGAGACCTACTCCTCCTTCCTGTCTTGGAGTTTATACAAAGGAAGATTTTTGTGTTGCTGTCAGACAGACATGAGAACTGAGTCCTCAACACTTTAGATAGTGGGTTCAGCCCCTGCCTATTTTATGTCATGTCTGTCTCACACCTCCCTTCTGAACATTGCAATTCAGAGGTCTAGAATTACCCTGTACTGAAAGAACTCTGAGCTGCAGAGGAAGGAGAAAAACTACTGGAATGGTATTTGTACAAGCTACTCAACTTATGCTGATATGAATATTTAAATACCAGCCTGTGTCTCAGATCATCCTTGGTACTTCAGCATCAGAACAGCATCAGCAATACCAATTCTGAAGGGATCTCTTGGTTACCCTCAAGCAAGGAATCACATTGCAATGGAAGCTATGGAAGAGAACGAGTGATTTCCGTGTAAAATGGTACAGATGAACAAGGAGCCAGTTCTCACCATCTCACCCCTTGCAGCAGGCTGGGTGTAATTCTAACAGCTCTGATGTTGTTTGCATCTTGCAGATGTGTGGTTGCTCCCATAGGCCTGTGGCTCTGTAGAGAAACTGCTTACTAAAAACATGGGTATTTTTTAATACTATTAAAGCTTACCTTTTTGAAATGGCTGTTGCCTTGTCTTTCCTGCCACTGGAGAAAAAACACATTGCTGATTTTATTACAGAAACATCAACTTGAGGGAAAACTGCAATGGTGAGAACTGCCCTTGACTCTGAATGAGCCAGGGGCTGCAGAGCCATGTCCCAGGTGTCTCTGTGGCAAGCAAAAAGAGCAAAGCACAACCACCATGTTCCTTGGAGAGTGACCCAGGGCTGCACTGAGCACCTTCATTACTGCAAACCAAGAGACAGCACAAACCAGGTCTGATCACCAGCATAACTATGAAAAGGAACTAGCAGGCTTCTATTCCCTTCAGTCTCAGTCAAGAGTTACAGAACAGCTAGGGCTGGAAGGGACTTTAAAGGTCACCCAGTTTAGCTAATTTGTGTCTCTGCAGTGTAGTCCAGGGAAGAACATTCAGCTTGGTTTCAGCATCCTGCAGAAACCCAACCCTGCTTCCTCTTTCAAGGCATTTTTCCTTTAAGGTGTCTCTAGCAGAGGATGCTGTTGGAGCACAGGCTGCCAGGATTCAGTCCTTGGCAGAGCTGCTGGAAGCCAACTCACTTAGGTCTGTATTTTCATAACAGGACAGAGTCAACAACTGAACTTAGACTAGACCACAGCATAACATATTGACCACAGACAATCACATCAGAAAAATAAGGACAATTTTCTTCAAGGCAGAATCATGTGAATTTCTCAGTTAGAATAAGGGCAAAGATAAGCTTGCCTAAGTCAGTAATACTTTCTTTCAGCAATTAAAACAAAGCTAGAAACAAAAGCTCATAAAAGCAACAAAACCAATTATAGTACTGAGGCTCAAGTGGATGCGTATGGAGTAGTGAGCACTGTTTACATTAGAGAAGAGCAATCAGCCACAATAAATAATAAACTTTATTTGGATATCCTTGCTGGCATCTACTACTGCAGGAATAAAAGGAATATTTACAAAAAAAAAAAAAAAAAAGAGACTCACTCAGCTTGTTAAAGAGTCTTTCCAAAAGTACTTCATACAGCTTTGGGTCAATGATGTTTTCCAATTTGCTTCTGTACAATATACCTAAATTGGTCAAAGGAATACATTTCTACTATGGAATTACTGGAACTCTGTGCTGTTGAATCTGGCAAGATGAAAAAATTAACAAATATATTATCAAGATACATATGGGAATTTTTAAACTTGCTCCAAAGCTTTGTATCACCATCCTCCAGTTTATTCTGTGGCACAGTCAATAACCAACCATCTATTTTAATGTGGCAATTCCAATGTTTGATAGAATTCCTTAGCATTATTCCCCCCAAATATTTTTTTTCCCCAGGACCCCAGGTTTTGCAAGATTTTTACATGGGTAAAGTAAACCTAAACTCTTAGAACACAAGGACAAGTATACTTAAATTTTACTTTAATATACAATTGCATTACAGCAGTAGCATCTGGCACACAGCACTCAGCCTGTAGTGCTGTAAATGATGTAAATGATGACTTCTTAGAGGAAGGGGAAGAAAAGATGCCATCAAGTTAACATGCATTTTTCAGAATTTTCATTTGCATTTTTAACCCCTTTGAGACCAGTCAAGTCATACACTTCCAATGGAAGTACCTTGCACATAAAAATAGCCAAAAGGCTTATTAGTCTAGTGGGGTTAATCAGGTTGGTTAGGTCTCATGTGCCTTGAAGAGACAGCCTGGTGAACACTGGCCCCTGTGCCATGAGTTGTCAGTGTACCACTGCTTGCAGCAGCTGCTCTCTGATTTTGGGGTCACAGAAGAAGCGGAGTTTGCGGGGCAGGAGCTTCACCTCCACAGGCATCGCTTCATACTCCTCATTATCAATGCCAAAGGATCCCTCAGTGCCCTGTGTGCAGTGAGTTAAACACCAAGTGTTACTTCAGTAATGCTGATTTTACTAATAAAACACAGCTGCATACTTAGCTCAGTCTCAACCAAGATGACCCCCTGCCTCTGCCTTCCAGCCCATTTTCTCTCCACAACACAGGGAGACCTATCCTTCACCACACAGAATGTATTAAGAGTCTGGTGCATGAGATGTTACCTCACTTAGTTACTAATTGGTGATAATTAAACACTAGGAAGCTCTAATGACCCACATTGTTTATACTGAAGGATTCTTTTCTATTGGAACTACAATTATGTGCACTTAGATCTTGGGTCTGCCAGTGGTGACATAAACTAATCTGCAGTAATGCCTGTTAAGTAACTTCTATTAAATCCATGTTACAAACCCCTTTCAGCTTTGTTTTACTATATTGATCTGAAACATGAGATGCAAAGTAATTTACTGGCCAGGAATTACTCAGCAGTAGAAATTTCTCAAGTGTTTAATGCTGATAAAGTCACCATGTGATTAAAACCATTCATCAAAATGGCAGGCTGACTACCTAAAAACAACTTCAGTGACTGCTTTGTGTGCCCTTGACTCACAGGAGGGCTGTGGGTACTCAAACCAACCCCAAGGGAACTGGGACACCAGAGCAGCACAGACATGGGGAACAGTACAAGTTCTGGCAGTCAGAGGTACCGCAAAGCAGTTCACTTCCATCAACATGAACTGGTGAGAGTCATCTAGGCTGCTTCAGTTCCTTCACTGGAGCTGGGCCATGAAGTCAAACACTGCTCTGTACCATGCACCCATGTTCTGAAGATCTTAGCAGCAGCTGCAGTATGAACAGCTCATTTCATACCACAACCCTCACTTATGGCCCAGCTGTACTTAGCCCAGCACTGCAGAATATTCTTTCAGAATCACAAATTTGCCATGATCTGAATTCAGTGGAAGCATTAAGATGTTGGTTAATCACGACATCATAATTCATGATTTTTATTTGGTAGCAACAGATTTTTTTACCTTTCAACAAATTCTTTATCCCTTAATGTGGAATTATTTTGCCAAATGATAGATCACTTGAAAACAGAAATTGTCTATGAGATTGATTTAATGTCCTTGAAAAAACAAGAAACTCTCATCCCAGAGCTGCAATAACAGCTCAGAGGCAGGAAAAGACTAATCTAAATTACACAAGCAGGCACAGCTTTGTATTCTTTCTCAGCTTCATCATTTCAAAGTTTTGAGGCACTTCCTAATACTGATCTCAGTTCCCCTGCCCTGTCTCACCCTCCTTTGTCTCAAATATTTATGTTCTTCTCTACAGCACAATGCCTTCTAGGGTAAAATGTACCCATCTTCAATGCTAAGGAGAAGATGAGCTGCCCATCACAGCTTTACAGAATGTTTGAACCAACAGAGGATCATCTGATCCAACCTCCCTGTTCAAGCAGGGTCATCCCAGAGCACATTGCACAGGATTGTGTCCAGATGATTCTTAAGTACCTCCAGTGAGGGAGACTCCACAACCTCTCTGTGCAGTCTGTTCCAGTGCCTGGTTATCTGCACAGTAAAGAAGCTCTTCCTAATGTTCAGGTGGAACTTCCCACTTGTATGCAATAAACTCAAGTAAGAGACTCTTTAACCATCATGACTGTCTTCATAAAAGATCTGCCACTACTTCTTGGCAGAACAAAGCTCCCCCAGCAGGTTTACAGACTACTTGGGGAATTTCAGTATGCCTGTCCTAGCAAGGGACTCATGGCTGCACTGTGGAACTTTGTGTCTCACCTGCAGTGTAATCAATCTCCCAGATTTAGAGTAGGGATTTCCCAAAGTGCAGCATCAACAGGTAGAGGAAACAAAGTGAAAGAGTTTTTCAGCTCTCCCAGCTTCTCACCTCTGGAAGTTGCAAGATGCATCTGCTGGCTTGGATGCACTGACTCCCTTCAGGGCACATGTGTGGGTCATGCATCTTTTGACTTCTGTTCAAACCAAAAGAGAGGTAAGGTAAGGACATGCTTCTCTCACAAACAGCTTTCTTCAGGGATGGCATTTTGTTGTGGTACATCACTAAGCATCTGGTAAACTTAGAGTTATATACACAAATACTTGTGGGTTTAACTGTGAAAAAGTAGAAGAGTCCTTCCCTCGTCTGCTGCAGTCAATGCATATCATAATGCACCAACAGCTTCCGACCAGCTTCTGCTCTGAGGCTCACTAAGTATATTTGAACACTGAGCAGTTTTGTGCTCTTCACTTCCATGCTGAATTATGCACTTCCTGCAGTGACTACCATCTCCTCATAGCTCATGCAACTAAACTTACCAGCAACCTTAAAAACCTAAGCCAAAAATATAGTAATTTAATGCTTCAATGTAATTATAATTCTATCTAAAACAAAACACCCCCATTTTTCATCTCAAAACCAATCAGCATGACATTTTTTATCAGCTGCTTCTGTTATCACTCATGAAGAAACCCTCAATTTTATCCATTCCAAACAACATATCCAGTTTTGACAGTTTCTCTCTTCTAGTACCTGTGAGATTCTTATTTATGTACTGTACTTAGGTAAGTGCTGCTTCCTTTCCCACGTCTGCTGATGTCAAAAGGGACCACATGGAATGCAGTTTCCTGCCTTGGAAAGGTGGTGTTGCAAGTGCCACGTGGTCTATTTCAAGGCTTCGGCTGCTGTCCTGTCACTGTCTCAGCTGTGACTCCTTGTCCCCACAAGTGCTGCTGCAGAGCGAGCACCAGCTCTGGGCTGTGCTGACCTTCCTCTGGCCTCCTGACTGACCACACAGGAACCTTTTGACTGACCACTGGCAAAGGACACACTGCACCCCAGGCAGCAACCTCTGAGTCTGGGCCCCTCTCCAGACAGACAGCAACACACAAATAGCAGAGAGAGCAACACAGAATAACAGTGCTAATACACCACAACTCTCAAGCATGGTGGAATTATTACAGATATTTCTCTGACAGGCAATGCCTGCTGTCCCCAAATTTCCATCTCTAGGCTGATATGAAAGAAGGGTGTATTTTAATATAGCCTAGGAAAAGAACTCACAAAAGCATGTCAGAATCTCCCTGTACACCAAGTCTTCTAGGCCCCAAGGAAGGCAGTTCCTCTAAAATCACAGAAAATCCCAGAGAAGGATCATGAGAAGAGAAGGCTGAAACAGGAGATGAAAATCAAAGACAAAGGAAGAAAAACTAAGGAAAGGGCAGGGAAGGACAGAAGCAATATTAACTGTGGAAAGTTTGGTTTTAATCAAATATGTATACACTGAAAGATTGATGAGTGACTGTGAGGGAATTAAACATCCTCCAGCAATATAAATTATAAATCATTGATGGCATGCAATACTGTCAGTTTATACAGTGCTGTACAAACAAGCAGCAAGATTTCTCACTTGAAGTTTAACCTGCTTGGAGTTTATCATACAAGGTCCTAGATACATACAAGGCATACTCTGGTGAACAAGCAGATTTTTTTGGCCAGTGAAGGCACATGAAGCTCTATAGAGATGTAATTATGGGGTCAAGGTAAAGTCAAAAGAGCCAAGACATGGAATTCAAGATCATTCAAAGGAGAACACTGGTAGAAGCAAATAAGACAATCACCTGCAGTGATTGCCTCTCTAGTGGCCCAGCAGAAAAAAACCCATAATCCATTTCCTTTAGACTCTGCTCCTCACTCAAGACCAGACAGGAATGTGAAATAGATACAAGATCAGATGTCTAAAAGCAAGTTTCCACTGATTGTTGCATCCCACTCTATGCTGAACCACAAAAATACAGGCAGAGAGAGAACCACAACATCTACTGCACATAACACACTACTGGAATGACATTTTCATATCCAGAAGCTGCTAATGTTAAATGAGTCAGAGTAAGCCCTCTAACAAAAAACTCCAGTTTTATGCACTGTGGATGATAACTGCAATTGTGCTCTCGAGTGACAGCTCTCCATGCTTTCACATATAGAATGTAAACTGGCTACCAGGATGTGGATTACAGATGCCACACTTTCCATGCCGGCTCTCATTCTCCGCAGCACTCCTTAGTAAGCACTCCACTGTAAACAACTCTTCTTCTCCCACCTTATTTAAACATCTATGGCTGCTGTGGATGCTCTTGTTCACACAGCCAGAGGACACTTTTATACACCTGGGATGACCTCCTCCTTTCTTGGAAATCCAACAGCAGCTGCCCTCCAGCACACTGATGTATCCCCACACCTCCCCAGACACACACACTGCCTGAGCCTCCATGGCACTCTCCTGCCAGATGTGTGGTGACCCATCAGCTCTCATCAGCTCATGTCAGTGTCCTCTCCAATATAAAAACCCCTTGTTATCTGCACTGATAAGCTATTTCCCCTAAAAACCTTTTTCAACCCCACAAATTCTGGTATTTAAACTATGCAATAAAAGAGAAGAAAAAAGAAAGAGCTGTTTCACACGTTTCCAAAGACAAACCCTGTTGCTGCTAGGCAATGGGGGGCCTGTGATAATGGGCTTAACTCAACTCCAGCTGGCAAAGGCACAGTGGGACCTCTGAACACCCTGATTCTGCCTTGAAAAAACAGGGCACCTTTTGTCTGCTCTGACTCCTCTCTGTACAACTAACCATCCTCTCCCACTGCTCCCCACACCTCTCTTTGTCTTTCTTTGTTACCTACAGGCTTTTGGGCACTATTTAATCAAAAGAGCTTGTTTCTCTGAACTTTGCTTGAACAGCTCAAAGCTTTCAGTACTGCCTCTAATTAGCTCTCAACAGCAGGGCTGTGGTAATGCCCCTCAGAGGCTTTTTCTGCATGACACTGTAACTGCAGTCAGAAATGAGCCACACTCCTGCAGGGAGCATGTCCAGTCAACACAGGAGGTATTATTTACACTGGGAATACACTTGAATATGCCTCCCTCAAGTCACACAAGCTCATCTACTTTTTTCTGCCAGCAAAGTGTTTGAGAACCCAGAATAACATCTCCTTTATGAGACCAGATTCCTCTTTCTTCTAACAGGAAAACTGCCTCCTCCTTTCCCTCTGTAGCCTTCAAAGCAAACAAATCAGTCCCAGGCAACCACAGTCCACATGCTCATGCAATTTGAAAGCAGCTGCAGGTGGTAACCTGACTTACAGTGTATGCATGGGTCAGAAGATTCTATTCCTAGGGAGGCTCAAATAAGGGGCCTGAGTTGCCATTAGTATCATAAACAATTATCTCGCAGGAATTATTAGCGTGATGACAAGCAGGTAAAACTGCACTGAAATGCACCCTCTGATTTCACTAGAGGGAGCTCGAAGACTGAGAAAACAGCAAATGAAAAGGTAACATGGAGAGGAGCTCCCCTGGATTCAGCAGGAAAATCTGTTGCTGGGAAAACCTGCACTGAAGATGCAATGTATTTGTGAGTGGGACTGTAAAAAGGAGCTTGAAAAGGCAGCCCTGATTTGCTTTTTGTAAGAGCAGGAGGAACAAGCACACTACAAGACATCATCACAAGTACAAAGGCAGCAGTAACATTCCCTTTCTCCACACACTGCTTCTTAATACCTGCAGCCTTTTTTATTCCACATACAAGCAGGACCAGTATATTTGCTTAAAGTCCCTGTTTACATTCTCATCTTCCAAAGTTCTTCCAGCTCAGACCTAATTTCTCACAAGAGCTATTGAGGCAAGGAAGCTTTTCTTCGAGGAGGGCCTGTCTAATCACATTCAAGAATTCCCAGGCACCAGGTACAAACAAATGTGGGTCAGCTCTGTGACCCACCTCTCAATCCACTGAGTAGCTAGGGCTAAAAGATTCTGAACCAAGTCTGCACAGCTGCCTACAAAACTAAGGAGAGTAATATCCAAGCAGTAATGACTTACAGCAACAGGGGAGAAGATGAAAGCTATAGCAAACTCAGAAGCTAGGAAGAACTCTAGGTTCTGAATACTCCAGGTTCTGGAGTTCTGCCTTGTTTACAGAAACAGAAGATGAGTAAGAATTTTAAAGAATCAAAGTGCTAGTCCCTGTGAACAGTACTGACTGGTGTGCTTTGCAGTCCTCTGCTTCTGAATTTTGCAGCACAGTATGAGAGAAAACTAGCACACTTTTCAGAGACCCTGCCCCCTTTTTGCAGCCTTGCCATACTCACCCTCTGTGAACAAACTCCCCTTTGCTGACACACTCTGCCTCGATGCAAATGTCCATGAAGTCCTTAGTGCGCTGTGCAAAAAAGGATTCAGGAATCAAGCAGTGAACATCTCAAAGTGCCACACCCATGATACTGCAATATGTTCACACAATGGCCACTCCTTTGTCCCCCAAAAGGAGGCAGAAGATGCATTTCTGCATTTCATGCTTTATTCAAATCTCAAGTTGAGATTTGAATTAGAAATTACAGACTGTATTTTCCCATTAATGAATATTCAATAAATACCACAAGAAGCAAAATAATGAGTCACACGTTTGGCTTCTTGTTACATTTAAAGACAATAGCAGACCTCTTAGGCTCTTAATTTCTATTCAATGGGTCTTTCATGAATTTAAGCAACAGTATAATGATAAAACATTTGGCCACCAAATACCACAGTGAGAGGATTTTAAACAATACAAATTAGAAACCAAAGTGTCCTTGGTAACAATCCTCTAAACTCCTTACTTAGCTTTCCCATTCACAGCCTGCCCTTATACTGAGTATACAGTAGAGCTTTTTTCAGGAAAGCAATTTTGATTAAAATAAAACTTTTTTTTTAAATGCATTTTAATATTTTTTCCTGGAAAAAGTCATAGAGTGCAGATGCAATAAAAATGACAGAAGTAAAAACAAATGCATGTATTTATTCAGCTTGGTTTATTCCTGTGCTGTTCTGCAGAGGCACTGCCTGAGCTGCACCTGTATGGCTTTATCAGCTTCCCTCCAGTGGGGCAGCCTCTGCATGAGTCTGAGGTGAGACACAGAGACAGGAGTGGCTGGCAGCCGCCAGCAGACATGGCATGCCTTGGTATTGATTCCAGAGAGCTGCTGGGCAGCTTTGAGGACTACAGGGACAATGGTCTCAAGAGAGGGACTTGAATGCAGTAATAAGGGATCCACACTTGCAGAAAAAGAGTATCAGTATCAAGATACTTCCAGCTCTAGAAACAGGAAAGTCATGGCCTACCACGAACTTCTCCATTTCTCTAGGTTATACAAGAGACCTGAGATCCCTACATCACTTTCTTCTTTTCAAAACCAATATTAAAGTGCCTCTTGAAGGCCTAAGGGAGGCAAAACAGACAAAACCCCAGAAAGTATCTGATTGCCACAAACTCCCTCATGCTCTTTTCTCTGTTTTTCGTAGGTCTGTTTTTACTTTACATCACTGGCTCCAACCCAACTGAACAACCAAAACTCTTCTGTTCAAGTGCCACCGAAAAACCACTAGAAAATACCCAAATACTAGTCTCTGTCTAGCTTCTACCATTACTAGGACACTGACAGTCCAAATCATAAACCACAACAAAGAAGAAACTAAAGTTCATGGTGGTATATTCTAAAGAGAAATTAGGAGAACATTAAAAAACTATATTTGCCTGCTTGGGTTCTTCTGGTCTGATCCTACAAGATAACATATCAATATAACTCACATTTTTATGTTCTTAAAAACCTTGACTTCTAAGGAAGAAATATGTTGCAGAAAGCTCAACACCTCCTGTTAACCTGGGTATAGTGGCAAGGGTTTCCTGTCCCCCTGAGGAGGAAATGTAGGGAAGCTCACAAGTATAGGATCACTGTGTAAGCATTTTCCTGTAAAATTAAAGACTGACATCCATCCAAATAGCTTTCACAGCAGTAAAATTGCACCAAAACACAGGCATGAGCCAAAGAGAGGTTCTAAAACAGTGAATGAACAGCATGAACGTGCTGAGAAGGTTATGACAGGAACAGTTCCTTTGATGCCTTGCTTCTATACTTTCAACCACCCGACTTCCTTTCCTTCAAATCAGTGCAGCCCATGTCCTTTCCCTAGTACCAATTATTTTTAACTCCACTCTGCAAGTCTAAAAAAGAGAGAAAAATAAAAAATTCCAGCCAGACACTCAGGCTCAGCTTCCTTCTAGCTGATAAAAGAGAATCACTCTCACATAAGCGAAGAGGGAAAGGAATGCTTCTTGGTGCCTTTTTTACTCATGGGAAATTCTAAAACTTCTGTTTAGCTACTGAAATCTTGTGCAAATTCTTTCTGATCCCACTGCATCCCAGTTCTACATTGGTCTCCTGTGCTTGCACACTGGATCTGAAACTTGCCCATTCCTCGATCATGGATCTCTTCTTCTCTCATGAAACAATAAATGTTATTTATATACACCCAAGAATGGGAGTTTAGCAAGACAGGAAAACCCTGTGGGCATGCAGCATTTGGAATCCCATTATGTAATGGTCTTACTGCTAGATCAAGCTGTTTGTTCCGAGTTGCAATGGAAAGCTCAATGGTGGACAGCTTCAGCTTCTCCCAGTCCTCTGGGGCTACCTCCTGGGGGAACTCTGTGCAGCAGGAAGAGAAGGAATCAGTCATTCAGTGGAATTTAATGACACACATCACTATGAAGCAGATGCTAGACACAAAAATCAGTCTGAGCCATTCTGGCCACTGGTTTTGTTTCTCTAAAATGTCAAAATCTTAAAAAATTAAAAGGGAGCTTAGGAGTACCAAAGAAAAGAAAAAATACCATCAGCATTTGAACAGTATCAGAAAAGATTGTCAAACACAGTACATCAGAGCCCTGTGAATCCTCATGTCCAGGGATTGACAGATCTCCTGGGCTGGTGACAGAAACATTTGGAAAACCCATTAAATGTTAGCACCAAAAAACCAGGAATCCAATGTTGAGGAGGCTGTGGTAACGCATTTTCTACAGGAGGAGCTCCACAATTCAGCTCTCATATCCAGGCCAGTTAGTTCATGCTCCTGCATGAATCACCTCTGCTAGCCAAGGAGGAATGAGGTCTTAGCAACAGACTGTGCAGAATACCCACTCTCCTTCCACAACCCAACCCAAGAGAGCCTCAGAGAACACAAAATTTATGGTACAGAAAGAATTTAACATACTAAGAAAAATTTAGGTCTGGCCCAAATGTTACTGTTCTATTTACAGTAATAGTTGTTGCTCTGTGTCAGCAACTCTCCCCACCCTGGAAAAACAAGGGCTGCTCCTCTCTGCCCAGCTCACTAAGAAGCCATTCTGCTGGAAGAAGATTTCAAGAAGCTCACCCAGAAGTGCCAAGTATCCTCAATGGATGCCTCCACTGCAAAGGCAACTGTGAGTCCAGGGAATGCCCTGGGTTCTCTACAAGTGAGTATTTGCTTATGAGACCACAAACATCTGTTCCATTTCTGATAGATGCCTCTATAACCGTCTTGAACAAAAATCACAGTTTAAATAAATAAAAAAGGAAACAAACAAATAAATAGCAGTAAGAAAGAAAGAGAGCAGTGAAGTAGACATGCCCTCCGCACAACACAGCCCTGGATGTGTCAGAGGAGCAGAGCCTGCCTGTGAGGTGATGGCAGAGCACAGCCAGCACACCTTTTGGAGATGACCAGTACGATCGCAGCCGTCGGTAAAGCCTCACATACAAAGGAGGTCTGGATGATTTCTCCTCGGGCTCCTCTGGAGGTCTCTCAGTTGGACCCACGTACATGAGACAAGCTTGATGTTTCTGAGGCCACTCCTTGGATTTACATGGAAAGAAAAGACACAAGATAAAGGGCATTTTGTTTAGGGCATGTCCAGTTTATTCTGTTTAGTCCTGTAGCCTGTTTATTGTGCACTCACACATAGTCCTGCAGAGCTACTCAGGCCACCCCACTGCCTCAGCCTACTTTATGGCTCTCCAGTCTCCAGGTTCATTGGTGAGATGACAACTCTGCAGTTTCAAAAAGATTACCCAGACTTCCCAAATCCACTAATCTAATCCTTCCCTGCACAGGAGTGAAGGCATTTTCCCCTCTGTGAACAGAGGGTGAAGGGCTGTTTCCTTTGCTGCTGAGGTGTAGCAGGGTGACACAGCTGCTTCTGGCTGGACGGAACAACCCAAACCAGCCAGGTCACCAGCAATGTCTGAAAGCACAGCTGGTTTCTGCATGGCAACAAGGCAACCTCAAAGAGCAACTGCTCAGCAGGATCCAGTGCAAACAGACAAAGCCTGCAGTGCTGTGTGCAGCCAAGGGGCACTAAAACCTGACAGGCCTTTGTTCTCCGCAACTCAAATAACCAGACCTGACCTGATAGCCAGGTGCTTCTGAACAGCAACACAACGGCTCTTAAGGCAAGTCATGTGAGCTTCATAAGGCATCTTAAAAAAAAAAGAGGAAAGTACTTACACATTATTCTTGGTGATATTTCAGATTCCAGTACCAGGGCTACAGAAGAACCTTAGCTTTTGAAATATTTCCAGACACTGACAAAATTTATTTCCTGCCATTGTTTTGAAAATAATTTCAGAAATGCTCCAAACATAGGACACTTAACTGGTTTTTAAATTTATATACTAAAACAACACAGCCAAGACTCACATGAACTCAGTACAATTATTTTTCTATGTACAAAATTTCAGAAGTAGTTTTGGATCATTTGGCACAGGTTGGTAAACTAATTCACCTCACACCTCTGAGAGCAAGGAAAGACTCCACTCTCATACTTACATAATAAGCAGGACAAACAGAGGTTGTATCAGTAGGGCAGTACACAAACAACAAATATTAATGATTAAATGGAAAAGCAGCAATGCTGTGATAATTTAAGCCTGTGTATTTTAGAAGAGATGATAACACTCATAACAATGCCAATATCAGAGGTGATATTTACAATTACACTTTTTTTCAGCCACAGGTCATCCTGTTTCAAGAGACATCCCCAGTAAAACCAGAAAATATGAAGTGTGAAGCAGCAAACATAAGCCAGGAAGAGATTAAACTCAATAGGCTGGAGACACTTCTTGCAGAAATTAATAAAATCATAACATAAGAGGCACATAAAGGAATGTGAATATCACAATTAGGTGAGATCAGGTAGAAAGTTTTCTATCTAAATGGCTGAAGAAGTGGGCACTTCTCTTCAATCTTCAGCAAGTTAAACAGATCCTTTTAATGTACAATTAATAGCTCACCAGAAAAATCCACTATCACCAGCCCAAGCTGAACCTAAGGACTCAAAGAAAGTCAGAAAGGAGGTGGACAGAAAAGAAGAATAGGTTTCTACCTAGAATACCAGAACACAGAAGCATAACCTCAAATTTTCTGTGGATGAGAGGGGGGAAAAGCCATCCCAACTTTTCTGGATACATTACTATTAATCCCCTTTACAGGAGCTGCCTCTAAAGGAAGCATTGTCATTGTCACAGACAGCATGGCTAGACTTCACTATTTGATCTGCTGTACCAGCTCCTGGGCATTTTCCCTGCCTTTCAGGAGGCTCCTTGTATGTTGAGAGAAAAGGAAAACCATGTGAATGAAAATGCCTTACCTTTAATGCAGGTCAAATTTAAATCTTTCCAGGATCGATTTTAAGCAACAGGAAAGTTTAAGGTGAGATAAAAGATATTCATCTTCATGTTCATTTTACTACACAAGGAAGCCTGATTATCAATGTGCATGAGCAGTCTAATTATAGACCCTTCTGCCAGATGAATAAAACAGAGTGAAATGTTACTACAAAGGCTGTTGAGAAAATGTGGCTGAGCACTTTAGCACTTCACCACTGCTGCTCACCAGTTTCACAGGGGGTTACTGGCTTTCCCTGCTAATCTTATAGCAAAAATTTTTAAAAAAATTTAGAATTATTTTTCTTCTCCTTCCTCTCTCTACTTCCTCTCTTCAGAAGTAATCTATCAATTGGTAGGCTTTTTTTAACGAGTTTTAGTCCCATTTTATATTGTTATCAGAATCCTTCAGGAAAGCTTGAAGACATATTTTACAAAGCAAAGTCAGCCTGTTCATTTCCCAAACACTTTCCTCACAATTAATGTTTACCTTAAATACACTGAACAAATGAGCTGCTTTAGTTTTCAGAGGCCCAAGGTACCAGTACCTGGAAAAAGAACAGAAATAGAACTTCTAAGATATCCAGGGATCAATACTGGGAAAGGGAGAAACTCTGCATGAAGTCAGAGCACACAGACTGAGTTAGTGCTCCCTGACAACCTTTAGCTTTTTGATACAGTAAAATAGTTTCTACAGACCAGCAGCCCAGCAGTGACACCCCTATCCTGAGTTACACATCACCAAAATGCAGTGTATAATCTTCACTACAGGCAGCAGGACACCTCACTATCAGAATTTTACTTTGTTATGTGAGACAGCTGGGGATGATTCAAAGGTCTGTGGTCTAACAGCTGGTGGTGTGCATCTCCATAATATGCAATACAGCATATTTCCAAAGGTTGGAGGAAACAAACAAAAACCAAAGCTTCAATGACAAAAGAACTAGCAAACATTCATTAGTCCCAAAGGATTCTCACAGTGAAATCAGGGTTTTACAAAATAAAAATCCTGCCAGCCACACAGCACTGTACAGAATCTAGAGATGTGATTGTATTTAGGCAGGCTTGGCACATGTTGATCAGTGTCATTCACCAAAGAGGGTCAACAAAGCACACTGAACACCACCAGCTCAAGAGTACTGCAGATCTAAGGGTCTCATTAACCATTAAGGCATGCAAATGTGCCACTACTCCCCTCAAGCCATGAAATTGTCTGTAAAATAGTAACCTAAGACAGCACTATATCTCCAGCAGCACAGTCCTTAGCAGAGGGACTGTCAGACACACTTCTGGAACTGTGTGTTATGGCTTAACTCCCTTTGAGTTTTTTTCAGTTTAAGATCAGCTGCACTGGAACACGTCAAATATTTTTAGTCCAATAACCCATCTCTCACAGGGAGCAAAAGTGGATGAAGTGGGAAAGTATAAAAACAGGACAAGCACACAAGGATTTTGTTCCAAGCAGACTCTGAGCACCTGTTCATTTGTTGCAGAAGTGCTTTCCAAGCTGGACACATTTCTCTGCATTCAAAAACATTTAGGGAAAGAAGCGGGGCTTGAGGATGTTCGTGTGCCTCATGTACCAAAGGTGCTGTCATGCCTCCAGCACTGAGCCCAAAGGACTCTTGCAAAAGGGAAGTGCTGCAGGGAAAGATGCAAAGGCTGACACCAGGACAAAAGCAGGGCATGGGCAGGAAGGCCAGCAGGAGTGCAGAGCAGAGAGAAGAGCACTTCCTTGGACTGGGGGCTGCAATCAGCAGGAGAGCCTCCAGCACAGCCAAGTCAGCACCTACACAGCCCACTAAGAATGTCCCTGGCCTCCCAGGGACCAACAACCTGAGTACTGCATCTCCCTCATCCCCTCTTAAACCTACTCAAACATTTTCCAGACAAACTCCAGAGGTCTGCTACCTCTTCCTTCCTGACAAAGACAGCTCATTCACAAAGAACATGCTATTTCCTTACAGCTTTTACTACATTTCCTCCATAAGAGTTTGGGAGTGAGCTGCTTTGGCTCTGCTGCTCCTTCAGCAGATAGTTCCTGTCATTTGATACACAGACACTGACATGTTAAGTGTCCATTTGGAGAAAGCCCAATAATTATGAGTTTAGCATTCTGAGACCAGTCATCAGATAGCACAGTCCATGCCACTTCTGGCAGGAACCTGAAGGCATTTCTACTGCATCTGATGTCCCTTGCTGGAATTGAGTTTCAGAGTACACACACAGCTTTTCATTGGCAGATGATGAAAAACAATGGCCAATTACTTTACTTAGACTTTACTCAAGGGAGACATTTTCCCCCTGAACAATAAAGTTTCAGAAGCAGATACCACAAAGCAAGAAGAAAGTAAATACTTAAAAGAACAGGTCAGCACCAAATATTTATTTCAAATTAAAAGAATTCTGATACATCTTACACTCCCATGTGTGTAATGAAAGATCTAGCAAGAGTGGGTGTCTCTGCCTGTCAGATGCCTACATTCAGAAAAAGACTTACATGAGAGAGGGGAATGTGTCTTTTTAGGCAACAGATACTAAAAAGGGTACTGTTTCAAAAAATAGTATTTTCTTACTTGCTAGCTTTAACTCCTGCATCTCTGTAAGATCCCCATCTTAAACCAGAGACTGCAAACACAGGCTGCTCCTTTTTTCCCTGTAAAGAAAAATAAACATTGCAAAATTGCTCTTACCCTTTTTTCCAACTCTGTTTTCTGAAGTTGGAGAAACAGCATTGCTACATAAAAACTTCTGTTAAATTTCTACACAGAAATTTAACAGAAGAGGTATGACAAAGAGCTAACAGCAATAAAGCTTAGCAGAATTTAAGCACTGTACATTCCATCTGCTCCAGGAAGGAATATAAGAGGAGAAGTTTTGAGCAGGTAGCCTGAGTTTGACTGCACACCCAGCAGTGGCCATTTCATTTCGTGGATTTGACTGTTAGCCAAAAGCAAGGAGCTCTGCACAGCAACACAGCACTCTTGCTGCAGAAATGTCCATTCTACAACTGAACAGAAAAATAATATTCAGAAACCATACTAGGCATAGTCAAAGATTCTCCAATTTTGTATTTTTCAATTTGTCAAGAAAGCTATTAACTTCACAATCCACATGAAAGCATCAAATCAGCAGACAGCTATTGCTATCTCTCACCATTGCTACAGAAACACCACTGTAGTAAGTTCTGTATTCATCAATACTCTCTGAGTCTCAAAGAAAGGCAATGTTGAGGCATTCTAGTGTTTTCTTCTGTTTAGATTGTCTGATGCCATACATAGCACATGCTGGAGAAATGACTGCCAGCAGAACTGCTGATATCAGAGACTAAAATTCATAACAGCAAGACACAGAGGAAAACCAGTCCATGTAAACACAAAAACATCAGAATGGGAAAGCTTTAGAAATGTTGGTTTCCAAGTAAGTAGATGCTTTCACCTTGATCTGTAAGACATCAAGTGGAACTGTCTCTCCTTTCAAAATGGCCAATGTAGCATTAGTAATATGTCTGCAAAACAAACAGGAAAAAAGCAAAGGAAAACAAACAGCAATAAAGGAAATGAGTAAACTTTAAAATTACTTTTTTTCCCAGTAAATTTCACTATGAGTACAAGTAGGGTTTTTTTTTAGTAAAAGTAAAAACCCCAGGGAAACGTGCTGCACCCAACTGAAATCAAAAAGCAAAATGGGTGATTGCAACACATGACAAAACCTAACAAACAGCAAAATACAGAAAACAGTGAAAGGAAATTATCAGTCTAAGCTTTTGAGACAGTCCTCCTTTCTGAGCTAACCTGGGAGGTCAGAGGCCAACTGTGTTACCTCCTATTTCAGATATTTAACACATTAAGGACATAAATCGTGGTTTTATTTTAGTGGTAGCAAGTATTACAGCCTGGGAGAGCATGGGACAGCATGACTGGTCTCAACTCATATGTCTGAGATTGAACTGCATTAGTATGTGCTAATTTATTTTGAAGTTTTTAATCAATGTAAATCTACCTATCAGCAGTGTCCATATTGTTTAGGTCACCATTCAGTTGTGGACAGTAGCCAGGGCACTTTGTTATTTCAAGCTGTAAAGATTTTGTAACCAAAGTGTCTAGGTCTACTAAATAGTCTACGTTCAAACCTTGTAGCATATACTTGATGAAATCCCTTTTTTGTTTTCAAAGTTGGGTAATATTTAGTTTCCATACTGCATATGTTTCCAGTGTCTCAGCCGGACAAGGAAAAAATGCAGTTTTCAGATCCAGCCCAATATTCATGTGAATCAGTGGGAGAAACCGCGTTTGGTTTCATCAGGATTACAACAGTGAGACAGATAAGGAAGCTGTTCTTCCCACAGCCCATCTTCTCTCCCAGCTCTTATCTTTCTATAAGACCTTTAGAGGTCCTACACACCTCAGAGTGCTGAAGGAACCAAAGCCCAAATATTTCTTCCAAAAATATCACTTCTGCACTTCTTAACTCAGGTTCTTCCACTGGTGCAGGCTGTTGAGCAGTCTATTGACCAAATTACCTTCAACTTCTCTAGTGTGCTGCAGTCCCACCTGCACAGTTCATTACCTTGGCACAAGAAGATCATCCATTTCAAACAGCTTCTTTAGAACCCAAATATAATTTATTATTTTAATCTTAGCTGCTGATGACAGCCTTGTCCACCTTTCTGGGCTTCAAAGCACTCTGGTAGTTTTAAAGGAAAGATGTTATGCCAGCTGACTCATGGGTTTTATGTATGATGGATACCAGCAAGGGCTCCACAAAGAGAACAACATTAATGAGTTACTGGGAGAGTGAGAGTGAAAAGATTTCAGGACCAAGAAGAAATATATTTATTATTATGAGAGGAGAGGTAGGGAAAAATTGAAAAGAAATGAAGTGTGGGGAAAAGAAAGATTGACTCTCTTTTCTCTACAGAAGTGGACAAAACAATCCTGCAGCAAACTGAACTGCAAACAACAGATACCACCAGACTGGATCATATTGAGGATGCTGAAGAATTGAGTTGTTGGATTACTGCCAGCATCAGCCCCACCACAGGGAAAAGTCACTCCTTTCCCATATTGCTGTATGCCTGACTTTGCAGGTCCTAACCAGCCTATATGCAGACCAGTTTCTAGAATCCTTAGAGTGGAGAAGGGTCAGAAAGAGGACTTATTTTTGGCTTATTTCGTCAAATCCTTGCTATATCCTTGTCAACCCTAGGAAGCTGATCCTTTTAATCCCTTTTTCTTTTTAAACTCTGAGCATCACACGATCACAGAGAAATTAGCCACAGCAAATGACTTCTAATAATACATACATTTCCTTCTTTTAATTTTTAGTCAGTTTTTGGAAGTCATTAACTCAGGTAAGTCCAGAGAATCATCAGGCTCTGCCCAGAGACTGCCAACTTCTATGTAACACAGAAGAAAAAGAAAAGCATCAAGCTACCAAGAAGCACTGCTTCTTGAAAACAACCAACCATGTTTCAGAAATATGTGATACTTACTGGACTTGATTTGTGCACTCAGGGTACAGTGTGTGGCTCAAAGTGCAAGTTTTTCCAAGGGGTATGAATCCTATAGGAATCTTACTGAAGACAGCCTGGACACATAAGGAGAATAAATTAACATTTGCATGAAGCTTCCTGTGTGGAGATCACAGCTGTGTCTGGCATCACCCCTTTGGCACTGAGCACCAGGCACTTCCTCACACAATGACTCAGAACATGGCACCCAAATCTGTGAAGCCACCACTGCCAACTGGGTACAAAGGAGCTCTCTGTAATCATTAAGGGCATTGTTGCATGCATTTTGGCAGCCACATCCCAACTAATGCATGGATTCTGTCAGCAATCTGCCATCTTCCTTAATACTGATGGAGCCATCACAGGCTCTGAATCCCATTTACCACAGCAGAAATCCCCCTCTGACAGAGTAACCTTGCACAGCAAAGAGATTTTCACACTTAAGGAAAGGAAATTAATTGATTCCTCTGCCATCCAAATCATGAAGCAGCAGAAGGTCCAATTTTTGGAAGTCACTGACCATATTATTTTTCTCTACAGCTGCTCAGCAAAAGGGCTTGTTGAAGGAGCAGGTTATTACCCTGTACCTCATCTCAAACCTTGCTTTTTGAAGCATGTCAGCAAAGCAGTGTAAACTACCCCATAGCCCAGTGCACCATGCCTGCCCTGGGGGATGCTGCCAGCAGCACCAGGACACAGCCAATCTGCAGCCACCTGGGAATTTCCCTCTCACTGCACACCCAAGCCCTCTGCCCTGCTGTGTCTGTGTCACCTGCAGGTGCTAAAACTCAAACACCCTGCTCTCATTTTCTTCAGCACTGCTCTGCAGTGTGCAGATGAGAGGCTGTCTGCAGCTCCTGCAGTGAAGCTCTGCTCCCCTGGCTGCCAGGAACAGAGCTTCTGGAATCTCCTGCCCAGGCTCTCATGCAGGCAACAGTGGTGTGGCACCCCCGAGGGAAAAGGGAAGCAGGGCACAGAGAGAGGGAGCTCAAGTGCAGAGCTCTACTCCTAGGACACAGTGACATGATGGACAAGAATTCCTTGGCCAAAAACATGAAGTGACACAGTGGCAATACTACAATGCAGTATTCCACCCATAATTGTGCTGGATGCAGAATTCCCTACACCACTGGAAAACAATCCAGGCTACATCAAGATAAGAAGCCAAAAAATAAAGAGAAAGTAGCCAGTAAAACCTCTAAACTTTGCTTCCACTATTGTCAGATTATAAAAGTCTCAGGATCCAACTATAATAATATTAGATTTAAAACAATGATGCACCAGAATTGATATAACTAGCCTTCCTTTAAAAATATTGACTTGATTGCAGAGTTCCCCTTGTCACATTCAGACAAAGCAAATGTCTAAACAGATACAATTCTAGCTGCCAAGGGTATCATCATAATCTTGTCCGGATTGTTTAATTGAGTTTTAGCCAGCTCCTGCCAGAAGGTTTTGGGAACAATGATTCCCTCCTTTTTTCAATAACACTGTCCTCCCACTTGAAAAAGAAAAATCTCTCTCATTTCCATTCAGAGTGATCCACCTTGAGAGGTTAAAATTTGCTTAGTACAGCCATCTGCATAGGTAGGTATGCACTGCTTGAAGAAGCAGCAAAGCAATCCCAAAGCAGTAGGAGTGTGACCATAACTGAATTCAGTGTCAAGCCTGCACAAACACAAGAAAAACATGTATTTCTGCCCAATGCTTCTGCCAAACAAAGTGGCATGCACAGCTGGTCCATGGGTCTTTGAAAATTGAGCATTTGGCTTCTTCACAATCCCTGCTCTGACGCTGGAAACTTCCCAAAGCCATGGCTTGGGAGTCACTGCATTCCCTTAGAAAGGGAACAAAGAACAGCAGGCAGCATTGCAGGACAGTAGCCCAGCTGGATGGCTGCACAGAAAGCTGGCTCCAGAGTAGTAAGCAAAGCATTTGCTGGAGGCAGCTGAGGCCAAGAGACCACAGTGGATGCACAAGATACTCCAAGAAATAAACACAGTTTTTAACATGACACCTTCTCACCTCATCTGCTCTACGGAGAAGTCCAGTTATCACCTGAAAAACACGGGAAATGCTCTAAGAATTTTATTTTTCAGTCACAGTAAGAACAGATTAAATTCTTAACCACATTTAATCTTTGACATTTAAGGAGCAGCTACCCTTTTATGGAAGGTGCTACATGGGAAAGGAGGAATGTTCAGCCTGCAAACATGTTGGAAACAGCAGGTTTATGAGTGTGCCTGAGTACATGCTGGTACCACAACCAATGCCAGTGTAAATGTTTTAACACTGAATAATGCTCTGCATAATGCAAAACCAGCACTGGTCAGTGCAATTAACACAAAGCCAGCATGACCTACAGATGTATTCTGATCTCTTTCTCTTAAGGTCACTGTATTCATTAAGCCATTGTCTTATGAAATCAGTAGTTAGAAATCAGGAACTGCTTGAATAAAATACAGTCTTGAAAAAGAGAGTATCCCCCAGTTCTGCTCCAGTCATTAATCATCTTGACAATAGGCATTTATTAAATACGTTCCAAGCTTTGTTATCATTCCCACGTAATTTTTAAATTATCTGATTCCCACTTAGCAAAATATGCATTCCTCTTGGGGAGTTTATAGAGAGGAAGGAACTTTGAAAATCAAACCACTACAACTACATCACACAGAAATAAAAAGTTAGAATCATGTCCCTCCAAAGAGTTTGCTCATTCCAGAATAAAGTTCTGAAAGACAGCTATGTCACACATTCTTTTTGTCCCCCCTCCCATGATCTCTTAAGACTAATACCAACAAGCAGAGTGTTTTGTCCCCAGAATATTAGAACATTTACTAAAAACACAGATTCTAACGGGACAGATCTCTAGGAACAGTTGCTATGATGCTGCTGCATTGCACAGACTCAATCTTCTTGCCCTCAGCCCAACCATGATTCTCAACAAACCAGGCTCCTGCAGTACCTCTTGGACTGTGCCATCTCCTCCTGCAACAATGATCAGATCTGTGTTTTCCATTATTTCCAGAAGCTGTTTTGCTTGTCCCTCGTGATCAGTCTGAAGAAACAGAGATCCAAACATGAGCACTCAAATGACTATTTTTAGTATATCTCTTTCGTGGAAATAATCATCTATCCATTTGGTTAATAGTTATTTTTATATAGGCACACAGTACTGTATATTCCTTACATTCAGAGGTTTTTTTCAACTTATAAGACCAGATTGATGCATAATATAATATGTGCAAGTAAACACATACACAGACACACACACACAGAGGTTGAATGCAATATCAGAGCAAATCTTACTCAATAGATCTAGAATACCACAGTAACCATCTTATTCCCAAGTAATATTACATTGAAACAAATCCAGGAGCCAATAACTTGCAGAAAAACTCCCACTGTCTTTTACAGCCAAAGTGCTCAAGTGCGTCTCCTGAAGCACAGCATCAACTACACAAAAGGCCACTGCCTGACAGCCACTGCCAATGGATTTAGCAGTAAAGAGTGCTGACTTTTTAAACCATTAAAACTGTTTTCTGCAAAATCCACATCTTTTACAGAGTCATCTCAGCCTCACTTCCTGGCCCAGCCCTGTTTTGCCAACTTGTTGGGTCTAACACTACCAAACATCAGTTTTAAGTCTTGCAAAATTATTTCTTCTCTTAGGGTGGGACTAGGTACATTTAATGATCAGAGAAAGGGATTAATAAAAAGAGTATTTTAATACTAAACCTTGTGGAAAAGATTCCAAGACAGAAAGATGCATATCAGGTACTCTGCTGTTAGGACACACTGACTATTAAGCAATACACATATCACAGCCTCAAAAAAACTGCAGAGCAGAATCCCTTCAATGTTTCCTTGTTCTTCTCTTTCCAAAGGAAACCTGTGTGCTTATTTACACCATTTAGAGCTCAGTGCTCTGCTTTCATGGTGGGAATGTTGAATTATTTGGAGAGACACAGAAATAATTTGAGTGTAAAGATAAAAGGTTATTTTTAATTAATCTGAACAGTTCAACTGGATGTCAAAATTCCTCACTTTTCAATTCTTCAAGTTCAGGCAGAAATGACAAATTCTACAGCAATGGGCACGCACCACTAGCCAGCACTCAAATATTTAGAGAGTTTTTTCTCAAACATGAATTACAGAAAGGCTGCTTGAGACAGACAAACAAGCATATGTACTGCTTTGGCTGAAAATTAAAATCTCACTACACTGTTTGAAAACCAATTGTGAATTAAAAAGGTTAGGTATCTGTCTAATATCTCAGTATTTATTTCTTCCTATAAGATGACTACAGGACAACTGCACATTTCAAATGCATACAGATTTGAATTTCAATACTTCAAGAGAAGAAAGAAGAGTCAATATTTCCACAGCAACAGGACCTATCAGTTCTTACCTTAACAATAGTTACATCCAAGCCAGATAAGTGCAAGATTGGTGCAGCATTCTTTTCAAAAAGGTTCCCAGCTTTGCTAGAAATAACAGAGAAAAAATTGTTTAATGATGCCTGTGGCTGAAAAAAAATTAAAAAGGAAAGAAACAAATGAACAGCAAGAAGAAATCTACTTAAAACCAAGTATTCAATCTCCACAATCAGTTGCTCAACCTGACAGTGAGGAAAGATGAGATTTCATGTGGTTCAAATGCATTACATTTCTAGTCTCATATCTCAGATGTCAGGGTTTTGTTGCAGTTTTAATAAGTGCACAAGATGCTATCTAACTTTTGCCAAAAAAAATTTTAAAAATCCATTAAAACAAATTAAGACCTCCAGAAAGAAATGTATTAGAAAATTAATGACTTACAAAGCACTAGCCTTTAGGACCACAAAGAAGCCCATACAGGCTTCATAAAGTATTTTTAAAATCCTGATTATTTATTACTACATATTATTAAATAAGGTTAGAAGCAAAATTCTGACCTTTTTTGTGGTAGGACTGATAATTTTATGCCTGTCATTGCATAACAAAATAATTATATCACTAACTATATATTGTTTGCAAGTAGAAACATGAGCCTTGGTTAATATTATGCATTTTCCAGACTCAAAAGCACGTGTCTGAGCACTTTCATGTCAGCTATAATATTCCCCTCATATTGGTAGTAACAACTCTCTGCCCCTCCACAAAATGCAACTATTCCAAAGTTTATTTGATCAGCAGAAACAGACACCCATCAGACCCAAGATGCTGTTTCTTCTTTTAATAAGCATGCAAAAATAGCAGCCGACCTCTTCCAGGAGTCCTGCTCCAAGCCCATATTTAGCCCCTCAGTTTGTGGGCACAACCCTTTCAAGGGCAGGTTCCCACAGAAGTAAGATCACTTCTTGCCAACTTCAAGTCTTGAAGGAATCAAGGTCATCTCTTACTTCTATACTTTTTGAGGATGGAAATATATCACATGCAAAAGTTTGGAAGGAATACAAAGGAATTCTACATACGAGGGAATGACAAAGGCCGAAACACAGGATTAAAGAAAAAAATGAAATATATATATGTGTGTGTTTAGAAATAATTCTTCCATCTCAAGCAATTAATTCTATTTCTCATTTCAATATTTTTTGGTGAAATAAAGTTTGGCATAGTTACATAGCACCAGCTTGGCATCAGAGGGAGGCAAAAATGAGCTCAAAAATCTGGCTGGCTTTTATAGTGGATAGCAGAGCAAAAATGCAGAGAGAGAACTTCAAATGAGAGTGCTGGGAAGGGGGAATTTTACCCTTTGCAAGCTGCTGGGTTGAGCAAGACTGTTGCTTTCTTCAATGGCATAGTGGCAGGCATCAGCTGGTTGCCAAAAGCCTAAGGAAGAGAAAAAGAGCAGGGCTCAGTTTATCTTTTAAGACACCACTAAAACAGCTCAAAATAACGCATCTCTACAAATGTCAATGGGTTTTCAAGCCTCATGACATTCAAATGACTCCCATCTTCAGCCATTGTACAGGTCTCTTACTCAAAGACCCACATTCTTAGCAGTAGCTCACATCACTGTCATAAGTACTCTTGAGCTCATTTTTACAATTCCACCACCATTTTGTTTTTGTCAACCTCTGGTTTTCTGCAATGGGCAGAAATCCAGGGAGCTCTCCTTGACTCCAAGGTTACTGGATTTTCTCTCCTTATGTAATTCTCATACACCTCCCTGCCACCTTCTTTCTGCATTCTTTCCAACTTCTGAACTTTAAATCCTCTATCTCTTCTACTCATTTCAGTATTTTCTATGCTTCAGGTTTTGAAGACAGGAAAGATAATTACAAAAGAATCTGCCTTGACCTATAAGCAAGTCCACTGTTTCTTAAACTTTTTTTAAGCTAATCTCTCTCTATAAAAATCATTAAATTCCTCCTCAACTTTTAATCCAATTCTGAAGAGGTGTCTCAATTTTAAATTCTTTGAGAGTTTCTCCACAAAGCCTCTTGCACTTTGGACCTATTTCCAAAGCTGTTCAGGACAGGCAAGGAAATGCAAAACTTCCACACGTTCTATCCTGCTCTATAAACTTCCAGAAGATCACGTAAAGGCATCCTCACACCAAATCCAACTAGATTTGAACACAAGGAATACAAGGTATCCAGCAATACCATCCAGAAGCCCCACAAAGAGTAGGAACCAAAGACTACCATGCTGAACATGGCCCAGAGAACTGTTCCTGGTTTTTTTTCCCCTTTTCCTAGGAAGTTAACCCCTAGCAGGAATTTTTATATTGAAGGAGGTGATACTATACACAAAACCCCAGTACATTTTAGTGGCTGTTACCTATTTAAATTTATTATTAATTCCACTTGCAAACTTTGCTCAGAAAACTGCTGTCACTTTACTGCAGGGGTTCCATACTGTTATCTCCTTATCACAAAGGTTTCATACCTTCTTGGTAATTCTTATTGGCAGCTCCTCAGAGCACTGACTTTTTTTTTTTTTTTCCCTTCTCCCCCAGCCACCCCACTCTTTTATAGCACTCTTCTTCTCATTGCTTACAGCTGTGACCTGTTAAAGTCAGGCCTGCTCCTAATCTTTGATAATTGGCCCAGCTGCAACTCCTTAGGGGTAAGATTACTTTCTACACTATCTTTATTTGCTTATATTCTATCCCCCTACAGGAAACCTCAATATAAAGAAGGGTACAGCTGGTTGTGCTGCTTAAAACACCCAAATTTCTTCTTCAGGAAAGAAAAAGCATGAGAATAGTTGCTGAGAGAAAAGAAATCTTCAAAGAAAGTGAAACAAATCGATAGCTCTTAAGCTTTACTCAAAGATCAGCTGGAAAACAGACCAACTTATTATATTGCAGTTGTTGGGTGGGAATTGGGGAATAGGGGCCCTCTAGCATGCTACAGCTGTTAGAAACAACTAATTATTTGCTTAGGGGGCACAAAATAATGTATTTGCATGCTCCAAACAATCTAGCAAGGCTCTAAACAACCCAACAAGGCTCATAAAGATTTTATTAGTAATGACATAATTGCTTCGTTATGTAATATACTCAGACATTTATGTTACATACAGGGGCATTTCTAAAGCAAATGCTGATTTGTAAGACAGGAAATAAAAAAATAATAATGCAATATTCTAGAAGTCTTTCAGAGCAGAACATAAGTAAAGACAACTTATAGTCATACTATAAAAATGGTTATTAAAAAAAAAATATATATATGAAGGTATAATTTAGGTAAGTCAGTGCCTTTTTCACTTTCTGGTCACAAGCACACTTCCAGGTATTACATTTCTGGACTTTTAAAATGTCAACCACTATTCTACAACTTGGAAAATTCCTTTATACAAAGCTTTTATAGTGCTTTATGAACACCAGCAAAGGAACTACATTCTTTTACAGAAAACTATCCTTGAGTGAATTGTTTGCCAGCTAAACAGCACCTCTTTACACGTGCCCAGAGTTCAGCAACAACAAGATCAACCAGCAAGACTGATCTGCCAAGGAAGACTGAGTCAGCTGACACTGACGTATCCCAGAGACAGAGGTGTAAAATGTTAAAAATATCATAAATGGGTTCTCCATTATAGAATCTCTCCATAATCATTTGCTACACCAAGGCTGTCATCATAAACTGGTATTTAAATTCAGACACACATGGCAGAACCTTTGCATGAAATACTGCTTTCATGGATTCTCTCTCGGGAAGGCAGCTCCCTCACCAATTTGATAATGTAACAGGCTTAAAAACCTAAAAATCCAATGTAAAAATAGTAAGAACTTCACACACACTTCATTCCAACTGAACCTTTTCTTTGGTGAGTTTGTCTCTATTTTTTCCCCAATACTTATAATATAGCACTATAAAAGCAAGTAGCATTTTACAAACAATTTTAGATTGTTGTTATTCTGAAGAATACCAGACACTTAATGCCTTAATGCAGTACTGCTGTGTGTTTTCAAGCACTATTTGGCAATGACACGTCAGTGAGAATGGAAATTGCAGCAAGAATTGATTACTAGGCTTTCTGGTTCATTCCTTTCTAATGCAGGAGTCTTCTGCAGGACATTTTCTCAGGCTCTAACCACTAAAATTGCAAAAGCTCTACTGACAGTGCTTTTGTATTTTCATTTCTAAGAATAAGCTATAATGGAATAGAACCTGTCACTTAATAACTGGATTTAAGAAATGGGAAATTCAGGATTTCCACAACTGAACTATCTGCTGGTATCAGTCTTTTCCTTAACACTTACACCTTCCTTTACACAATACACACAAACCACTTAATCAACTCCTTTTAGAAAATTTGGTTTAATTTGGTCAGCATGCTTCAAATACTGAGGTATTAACAGTTATTTTTTGTCATATAAAAAAACTTCTACTTTGTTATTATGTAGTAAAAATGAATAGTGAAAACATAAAGACTCTGAAATTACAAGTATGGTTTATGAAAGCAGTATTTTCAGGGAAAGATTTTCCTTGTTTTTTCATGAGCAGTGAGTTCCCTTACATCTATTCTGGCATGAAGATCCATTGCACAAGACAAGTTGCTGTGAAAATCTTTCAACAGCAGACAGGCTAAAATTGGGATAATTCAGGTGCACAACACTTTTTACTGAGAAAAATAATTTTCACCATTCTGCTCAAGCCCCAGTACATGGCAATGATGGGAGCAGTGTTACATTCTGCAAAACATCAAAGATCTGTCATGAAGAGGCAGGTTTAGAATAAACTTTATTTGTGGGAGGTAAAAACTCTTAAAATCCTACAGAAGTGATGTCATCCATAGGCAGCAGCACTTACACCTCCAAAAGACTGCTTATTAAGGACAAGATTTCTTTGTGGGAATATTGCAGTATGGGAGTTTGTTGACTGCTGTTTGCCCATGCAGGCCACAAGCTAAGAAATGCAACAGCCAGTACCCTGAGAGAGTAACTCTCCCCCCCAAACAGTGGCCTTTTTGTCACTGATCAGCAACCAGGCTGTCCCCATGCAGTTCCCAGGAGATGGGCCCCAAAAGAGCTGGGTCAGTCAGTCATCACAGCTGGGATGTCAGATAAAGTCACCCAGGGTCAAACAGACAAGGGCACTGACACAAAGTGGTTTGTGCAGCTTCTGCCCAGCATCCACCCCACCTGGTGGGGCTGGGATTTCACTCTTATCAACAAATCATCTCCCTGCCAGAGGTTTACAGGCACAGAGCAATTGCACATGCAGCAAGGGAGGTCTGGGTAGCTCCAGCAGCAATTAAGATCACCCCAAGGATAACGCTGCCCTCCCCTGCAGCAGCAGCCAGGACACACAAGGGGCAGCACCCCTGGGCATCCAGGGAAAGAACACGGATGATGAAATCATCAGAAGGCTTGTCACGTAGGAAAGGCCCACTGGGAACATCTCAGGAGCTCTGCACAACCAAGATAAGAGGCAGATTTGAATCTAATTTTATTACTTTAAACAGTATTACCTGGGCTTCTTGGCATGCAGCTCTTCGTAGCAGGTTATCACTATCAGGTAAGACAGAAAAGAAAGGGGACATTATGTTGTGTAAATTTAAAACAATTTGCTCATTTTCAAAATGTAGGTACATACCCTTTTTACACACAGTTTGACAACACTGGAACAGAAAAAACCCCAAAACATTTTAAGGATAAAACACCCCCATTGATTCATTTTTTTTTCTGCATGTGCACATTAGCATTATTTCTACAAAAAACAAAAGCAGAAAACAAAGACCAGGATGCCAAGTGTGCTGAGATTATGTAAGCTCTGGCACACTGTGTAACTGTGATTTATTTATTAAATTGCTACATAACTGTACTCCAGAGCTCAGGTGTGGGTTTTTCCAATGTTCTTGCTGCCTGGTGTTTACCCTAAAGGTACTTACCATTCTGGCAGTGTGGAAGGGTTCTAGAGAGGACTTAAATCTTTGTGCATTACAACTGTGAGCTGCCCTTTCCATCAGTTTGCAAGTCAAAAAACACATTAATGCAGCACCTCCCACTCACCCAGGTCTGAGCATGGCCCAAAACAGTAACTCAGGTGAAAAACATTCATTGCATTAAGCGAAGGGTAAAAGAGAGATGCTCAGTGTCAGATATGTCAGATGGTCTGTTCAGAAATATGTTCCTGACTTGTCACTGGCAAGGGTGAGGAATGAAAATCTATTCCTTCCCCAGCCCCAAAAATGCCCTATTTCCCCTTGCAGACAAAATGCCAAGTACTGTTCTGCTGTGCCGAGTCCTGCCTGTTCTCCAGATATCAACACTCTCCATCCTCCACTTGTCCTTGCCTAGTACCTGGCCAGACCATATATTTTTGTCTCAAAATATCACACACAAAAAGCCCCACTTACAGTCAGCATACCAAAACAAACACTGTACCAACCAAAAGGATTAAAGGCCAACCAGACAAAAGCAGGTGGCTGGGAGAACAGCACACTTCTGCCCCAAAGTGTGGCTCATCAGGCCAAGCCCTGCCATGGAAATGGCAGAAGAGAAGGCAAGGCAAGGCCAAACCCAAGTGCCATCTATTTGATTCCACTGGTTTACAATATTTATCTGTCACTAGAACTATACAAGCTGCTCTTTTTTGGCATCACCAAGAGATGCTGCAGTGCCATGAAATGAGAAGTAGGGTGACTTCAGGTGAGATATAAAATTGGGTTCTGTGAAAATAACTACGCTATAAAAGCCACAGATTTATTCCTGGTAATAATGAAAAGACAAAGGAAGAGTTCAAGCATGGAAAAAGAAAATATGTGAATAATACCTCATCAGGATAACAAGTAACTGGAATGTCTGCAAAAGAATTCCTCAGAGGCATGCTGTCATATTTGCTCCTTAAAACCAAAGGAGTAGATAATTTGTATTAAGCACCTGCGATATCACTTAGAGGAGCAACAGCCTTGGGTTTGATTGCAGTGATATGATGGAAATGCAGCAGTTAAAATAATAACTCTGCAAAGGTTGGTGTTCCAGGCTGTGGCCAGCAGTGTCACAACTAATTCCAGACAATCATCACAGCCTGACAGGATGAGTCCACACTGTGTCACTGAGGGCACGAGCCCTCACACAGGGACATTGTCACCTCCCTCTGTGACTACGTGTGGCCAAAGCAAATAGAAAATAATTGCAATTTCAATACATAAAATTGAAATATTATGGGATGTCAAGGAGCCCCCATTATCAAATGATGGCTGCACAGTTGATGTCTTTGAGAATTGCTGTCCTAACCTTCTGAACAAATCCCAGCCAAGCCCACATTATCTGTTTACTTCACATTGATGGTATTTTGTTCCCAAGTCAAGCTCTGTCACACTGTCAGCCAGCCTGTTTTCCTGGTGCCCCCAGCTTTATGCTGCAGTGTTAATTGTCTTGAAAATGAAGTCCAGCAATACTTCCCAAATACAAGCTGAAAATACGGTGTTCTCTTTCTCCACCTCAAAGATCCGCAAAACAACTGTCAAGGATTCACCTCAGTGAGCTTTACCCATAAAAATTAAGCTTGACAATTTAGATGTCAACATTTATGCTGATTTTCTCCTGCATTGAAGCACTTAAAGAGACAGAAGAAGCCTACTTTGACACTTACCATTTTGGTGTCAAAGGAAAAGTCTAGATTCTGAGACTAGAGGAATCATTTACCACCCAGCAATTTCCAGGTGATTTGTCTCACTTCTCCAGCAGCACAGCACCCAGAATCCCACACCATCCCAGCCATACTCATAGTGTTGAATCCCATAATTCAACTGGGATATTTAAAAGTCCTCTTGAGTTTGTCAAGGATGTCCCAGGTTTGGTTTAAAGATGCCAGGTAATAGGAATTTTTTCATTTCCTTAAAATATTATGCCAACACTTAACTAGATTCAAACTCCAGAAAAAACAGTACAGATGCACTCACAGGGATGCATTTTTAAGAACAGCAGTCCTCCTCCTTCATCACAGCTGCTGCATTGACTCACCTCACATGGCTCACATAAAGTACCCCAATTGGCCCTGCAAGTCCTCTGCAGGTCATAACAAACACTAAATAGAGCTAGAAAAAATGTGAAAATCAGCTAGAAGGAAACTTCTTAAAACCCTCTGCCTCAGTATGTATTCATTCTCAAAATATGACTGCTCATCAGCTCCCAGAAAAGGTGAGACTTTAATAACAAACATAAGACTTGGTTGATTTTTTGTACTTCATTGTCTACTATCAGGGAGTAGCAAAGCTTTTTCAAGAATCCTCAAACATGAGCAGGTGGAGGCAGAGGGAAATTGCTCCACTGCCTTAAAGAATACAAAGAGATTTCTTCTGACTTGCACCATATCCACAGCAAACTAAAAATCAATTTTTACTTCACGTTTCCCCCAAGGCCTTATCTACAGCATTTGGCCTTAAAGACAAACAGACAAGCAGTGTTGCATGTGCTGGCAAACTCAGGGCTGTCTTCCTGCTGTGAGAATTAAGCATCACACAGCTTACAGCTGGGCCAACTTGCTTAAGCAGTAAAAAATTGGGAAACAGAGAGGAACAAACAGTGGTGGCAGGGTATGGAAGAAAGAGACTGTCCTAGGCTGAACCCAGAGCCAGAACATTCCCAGCACAGCCTCAAGGCCAGAGCCCCAGCAGCACAGACTGTGCAGACCTGAGCACCACACCAAAGGATGGAACCAACACAGAAGAGACACAGAGTGACTGTGGAGAGCACACAAAGCTCTGAGAACATAACATCTGTAGGACCTGCTCTGATTTCTCTGCAACATCCCTAGGGCAGGACAGCTGCCCACTGCTCCTGTGCTGAACATTTTCAGCTGGAATAGGGCATTGACACTCTTACACATGGGCACAAGATGCACACAATTTAGTATGGATGCTGCTCAAGATGAGGCTGAATTCTGTGCCCAAGAGCCAGCAGAAGCCAGGGTGGAATGATAGCTGCCATGATCAAAGTCACTCAGGGCAGCAATGGATGCAACAAGGAGAGCACAACAAAGCTGAACTGAAGCTGTTTGAGGCTCTCAGCTGCACCAAGGGTCTGTCTTGCATCCAACCAAAGCAACTCCCCTAAAAGTGATCACACTACAAATGTAAAGAAGCTCAGGATCTCATTCCAAAATGGGTTATCAGCATTAAATCTAAGACTATTAAATATCCTCAAATATGAACAAGTCTAAAAACTTCAAAGTTTAGTGTCTGCACCAAACAGTTTTGTGAGGAGAAACTTGACCAAAGCTGTGCACACAGGATCTGTCCTCAGGAGCTATATCAGAACTCCTGAAAAAGATTTTATCTTAGCAGAGAGGTTTTTTGGCTGCTTCTAATACAGCAAGAGCACAGAATCCTCTTTACTGCGTATTAGAATTTACTTCCATCTTGGCCTTGGAAGGGCACGAAAGACAAATCTTAGGTTTCATCAGCTTTACCTAAGACTCAGAATTTATACTCTGTTTTTTTGACAAAGTTTGGATGAAATAAAGTCAGCTACTCAGGAAGTATATGCAGAAAGGTGACAAAGTGAGTTATCAGCTGGCAAACACACAGAGACTAACATTCAAATTGTAGATAACAGCACCACTCAGGATTACTGGCAGGCAGTCAAAGGCTCAGGTGCTTTGCCAGCATTTTCTACTGAGAATGTCAATACTTTAATATATACAGAGTAAAACTAAGTATGTGATGAGTCCACTGCCTCAGCAGAATATCCAGGGTCTCCATCCTGCCATGGTGATGATCACTTGTGCAGTGACATCACTGTAACAGTCTGGTCAAACCTGACAATCAGCTCAGCTGATGTCCATCACGCAGAGATTTCATTTCTGCTGATTTGACAGAGCTGGTAACTCACTGCAGCCCCTGGGGCTGCAAAGAACAGCTGCAGCTCAGCTCAGGAAAGGTGACCCAGGACATGAAGTTGAGAAGGGATTCCAAACTTGGTGAAAATTTTAAAACAATCAAATGGTAAAGAACAATCTTTATTTGTAATCATCCTCACCTCTGTATGTTAAGCAGAGGTAATGTTACTGTGTATGAGCAGACATCTGACAATCTGCATACCCTGCAAGCTTTGATCTAGAATAGTAAATTAATTGTCCCTTGTACCTGCACCATGATATGCTACAGATTAAAACGAGCCTAATCTATAAATTCATGCAATCCAGACAAGCTCACATGTAGAAACACTGAGTTATCCTCCTACTTCTCAGACAGCACAAGAGTGTTTGCTATCCTAAATGCAAGACAATGGATCTTTAAAGCATATTCTTTTATGAGAACAAAGGAATTTTAAGATGCATTATGGCTTTGCAAGAATGGGGTTCTAGTTAACAGTAGTTCAACCAGACAGAACTCCTATCATGTGACACATGAAAACCCTTTGCCATCTCCTGACTGACAGCCCTGTGAAGAGGTACCTTCTGCACTATCACAGGCTCAGAAGGGCTGAATAACTCACGGCAGAGGGGGGAAAAGCACAAGGTTTCCTACTTTAATTCTTCCTGCTCATTCAAAACTCCTTACTTTAAATCAGTCAGTATTTGAACCAGCACCCCCCAAAGTGAAAGGCTAACACACTGATCCAGAAACTAAACACAGCAGGAAGAAAGTGCCAGGACTAAGCAGCTCCTCAGCCTTTACAGTTATTGCCATCCACAACGTTCAGACCAGCTCAGTGATGATCAATCACATTCCAGTGCCTCCCTATCCTTTACACTCCAGGGAGCACAGGACACCCGCACCAGGCTCCACCGCACAGACTTCAGAGTGTGCAAGGGGCGCTCCCACATCCATTTCCAGGCAGGGAAGAGGCACTGGGAACAAGGCTGGAAAAGGTAACACTCTTCCCGTCCATACAGCATCCTCCAAAGTCTTAAGGAAGAATTTCAGAGCTCTTCTGTCCCTGTGAGCTGGGAGAGGCTGACTAGACAAGAGCTGCCATTTATCTGCAGGACAGATTGGTATTTACAATAGCTCCACTTAATGCAGACATCATGGCAGCTGCATCCAAAAGAAGAAGGAACCTTGACAAGTCAAAAAAGCAAATCACCTTCTCCTTGCAAGAGAAATATTTCAGAAAACCCACAAGGACGAAAAGAGGGATGCAGGATGGCAAACAAAAAATTTCTTTGGCTGTAAATAAATGACCAACATCAGCTACTTCCAGAAGTCAGAGGCCAATCTGAGCCAATGCTGTGCTAAAGTAAGGCCCTTCATCAGGAACTTGTGATGCCAGAAACCAAAGCACAAGACCTCCCTACACTTTAAATGTGTTCTCAAAGGGCAAATATCAGTCTAGTCAGGTATGGCTCACGCACAGCAACTGAGGCTCTGATGTGGATAACAAGAAGCCTCAGGGCCAGCCCAGCCCCTACAGAGTCTCCATTAACCTCTCCCACTGCTGTCTGTGGCCACCTGTGCATGGGACCAAAGGCACCTCCCCGTTCCCCAGCACAACTGGGACACAGCACAGAAACTGGGAACAGGGAGTGTACCAAAACACTCCCACCAAAGCCATCCCCACAGGCTACAGAGAGGCATCCTGGCCTACTCCCTGCTGTCCACCAACCACAAGGTAAGGTCCTCACCTCAGAGAGTATCACAAAGGGCTCTTGAGACCACCTTTGAACTCTTCTTTACACTCTTGCCATCGGGCTCTTGTCATTCCTTGTTTTTCTCTAACCTGAATTAAACAACTCTCTGCAGGGAAACTCTCTCCCAGAAACTGCTAAACAGTTGTCAGTGTTCCCAAACAGTGTTTAAAACTGTGAAAGCAGTAGCTATGGCCTGCATCAAAGTCTCACTGAGCTGTCTGTCATCACAGGATTTCCTACCTTGCATTCCCAGTGCCTCCTAAGGAAATGCTGTATTTTCCTTTACAGACAATAGGGAGATTGGAGAATGGGATATGTAAAATTTTTCTGCCCCCAGTACAATTTCTGGGTTAAAGCACCATGCCTACACTTGGGGCAAACAACCCCCACACACCAAAATTTAGATACCAAAGATTCCCTTTTTGGTTGTTTGCCTTTCATATTTTCCTCCTTATTCCCCACCACGTCACCTGCAGCACACTCCATATTCTCAGTGATCCAAACACAATTTCACCGCTACCACACAAGAAATCAGTGTACATCTGAAACCACAGCACACAGGCACAGGAACTCCCAGACACAACAGATACAAGGGGAACACTGAGTCTCAGTGCTTCAGGTAAGAAGCAGGCAACTAAAGCACATGTACCATGCAAAACAAAGTCCCTAGGTAAAGGATGTGAAGAGAGTATAAAAACAACATGAACAGATTTATTTTCCTAACTTTTCCACCGAGGCTTTGGCAGCATTGCAATGCAAGCAGAAAAGAGCATTGTTAAAAACCTGAGTAAACAATTAAAAATCATTAAGACAGTCACAATAAGCAGCAGAACCAAAAGTAACAACTTTTAAAAATAATTTGGCTACGCCTCCTTTTCAGTCAAACACATTACCCATAATCCTTAAGGACAAGAACTAAAAGATAAATATCAGGTGTGAAAAATGCATGTATTTTATGATTGGCTTTTTTGCAAATATTAAAATTAATATTATATGTGTTGTGTCAGAAAGTAATGCTGTATTAATTCTCTTAAGTACTGTGTTAAATATAGTTTTGGATTATTAAAAAAGTTAAAATAGAAACTATGCTAAGTAGGATACTTTTTTTAAAGAAAGGACTTGCAGCAAGATAGCAGCCACAGGACACCTAAATCTTTCAGAGAAAAAGAATTTATTGCTCTCTTATCAGAAGAAACAAACTTCTTCCCGCCTCAAAGGTGCTGTTAGGATTCAGAGGAAGAAGTTGACGATGACCAGACAGAATCCTATGTTTGAATGGAATTTATGCATCTTGTATGAGGTGTATGAATATGCAACAGGCTGTTGTTTTAAAGGGTTAATCCTCTGTAGATGTGTGTCATTTTTCGGCTTGTGCTGCCCAAAAAAAGTTACCCAGACGTCAGTAAATCTTTGTATTTATTGTCTCATATTGTCCTAATTCAATTTACCCAAATTATTATTACTCTAATTGTATTACTATTTTTATAACCATTTTATTACTATTGAACTTTTAAAATTTTAAAAACAAGTGATTGGCGTTTTCCACATCAGGGACATTTACTCCCCAGGTAAGCAGTGGCAATGGCCCCACCAGGTATAACTTAGGGGAGGAGCAGCTGCCAGGCTTCTCCCAAACTGGGTGGGTGACAGCAGCAAGGACCGCACCGGCGGTGGGGACAACACAAGGCTGCCAGTGCCAGGGCTCAGGAAGAGCCAGGGACTCTTTTTGTACCCTGTAGGGACTCTTTGTGTACCCTGTAGCCAGGGGCTGCAGCAAACAGGAGCAGGGAAAGCCCAGAGGCACAGGACACCACGCTGGGATGGGCCACGCTCAGCACACCCTGCAGGCCTGGCTCCAGTAATCCCTATAGCACAGACCCAAAGCCAGCTGAAGGCACGCGTGTGGCTCACGACAATCTTTTTTAGACTAGAAGACAGAAAACCTTCTCCTGTCCAAGAGGCCCCATATACCAACCAGACATCCCCACATCCCCTCTGTTTAAAGCTCCCGCCGGAACCCGCCCCAGTCCTGCAACGCGGCCGGCATGGGAAGGCAGGAAAGGCACCGAGCCCTACCAAGGAGATCCATCCCTCCTGCTCACCCCTCCGGGAGGGAGATCCATCCCCTCCTGCTCCTCCATCCATGCAGGAGGGAGATCCATCCCCTCCGCCTGCCGGGGCCCTCCGAGAGCCGACCCCCATTTTAGCCGCTCCCCCTCCCTCCCTCCCGCCTCCCGGCCCGGCTCCAGCCCAGCCGGCATTACCAGTGTTTCCCATAGAGCCAGTGTCCGCCCCAGCCCAGCAGGCAGGCTCCGAACGTGGATTTCTTCCAGTGGTTCCTGAGGGCCGCCAGCACTTTCGCCATGGTGCCCCGCCGCGCCGGGGGCCGCTGCCGTGCCCGGCCCGGCTCGGCTGGAAACGGCTCCCCCGGCCCCGGCGTTCCGCGCACGCAGCCGGCCGCGCGTCACCGAAACAAACAAACAAACGAAAAAACAAATTAAAAAAACCCCGCGAATCCCAAGGAAAAGAGTTTTCACTCTTCCCAGAGTCCCGGCGCTCGCTGCCCCGCACCAGCCCCTAGAGGACCTGTTGCCATAGGTTCTTGGCTGCCGGCGCTGACGCTGCCGGGAGCGCGGGCAGATGGAGATGGAGCGTGGCGGGGGACAGAAGTAAACAGGTCTTTTTCCCACATCGTTACAAATAAGAAGCTTGACTAGGCCAATATTCAAGCAGCAATCAATTTATTAATTAATATGGTAAAGTATGAGCAATACAGCGCTGGGTACAGTGGGGGAAGTTTTCCCTCCAACTTGCACACCGATGGTTGAGGCTTACAGGTATTTACAGGGGTACTCATAAGCTTTCTCAGCAGTTTCTATTCCAATTTTTACTCATCAGCAGTTTCTATTCCCAATTTTTATGTCACAATTCTATACGCTATTGTGATTTAGTTTTTCTTAGGATGTATCCAAAAGGAGTATCCCCAGATGGTGGTGGTCCGGTTTCTGAAAGAAGAAAGACGATCTGGTGAAGTCCAGCTCCCCAGATGTGGGTCCACCTTTTAATTGCAAGGACTATAAATCTCATAACAGTGATGTCCAGCTTCCCTTGGTCGAAACTATAAATCCTTGAGTTGATATTCATTTTCCTTTCTCAAGCTGCTTTTCTCTGCTTTATTAAGGTGTGACATAAGCATATTTCCTTTATATATATTCCAAAGCCATAGTTTCAAGGATACAAGCAATATTTTAAAATTATACTTGAAAAGGTTATTATTGCAGAACTCTTTAAGGCTTAACTACAAGCAAAGAGCAACATCCTTAATGCTTTAATTCCAATGCTCCTAAATCAACTAAGGTCAATTGCAAACAAAAGATGGGTTCAAAGGCCTTTTTCCATGCTTTACTTTCCTCAGTTATGATTAGAATTTGCAGCTGTCCCATTGACGGTTTCCACACATATCGCAATCACAAATTCACACATTGCCTGTATGTACGTGATACAAAACACAGCTTTGTATTTCACAACATCAATAAAAATATGCATGGTCTTACCCCTGCCCGCACAAAAAAACCCCAAAATAAAACAAAAACAACATAAAAAACCCAAAGAAAACCCCAAACCTGCCAAAAACACCAAACCCAAACCAACCAAACAAAACACAACAACAACAAACCCAAAGGAAATCAAAACAAAACTCAAAAGTAAAACAGAATCACAAATAAACAACAAACTGAAAATATTCAATTACAAATATTCCATAAAATGAAGTTAGAAGAAATGTTGTCCAGGAAGTGGGGGGGGTTTGCTGTTTAAGCCTAACCATCAGGATGGCTGAAGAACCTGGAGAAACATCTCCAGTCACACATAGAAAACACCAATATCACAAGGATGCCATGCAGCCATGAACAGCATGAACAGCCTGCCAGGGGAAGGTGGAAACATAAACAAGGAACAAGATCTGACCTCATCATGAAAAAAAGCTTTGGGACAAGCTAGTGGTGGTAGCCTCTCCCAGCATGAGGCTGTAACTAGTATTGTCTATAACAATTTTTCACAAGGTAAACCACCCAACTGATCAAGGGAAGCCAGTACATGTAATCTTTTTGGATTTCAGTGAAACTTTTCTCAGGAAAAGCCCCAAACGACAGAAATTTATGTCTAAAAGAAGACAGAGGAGCCCTGTAACTTTATTGGAATAAAGGGAGAGAGTCCACCCGGGCACACCCGTGGGGTTTTCTCTCTCTGGGTTTTAGAGGGTTCAGCCTCCTTTTACCACTCTCAGTTTGCAAACTCAGGAGAATAAGGATGCAGTCTGGCAGGGACTGGTGGGTAGGGTAATGAATGTAATACTCGGCACTTTTTTTTTTTCTGACTCTTTTTTCCCTCTTACAAAATGCCATTTTAGCAATTCAAAAACATCACAGTCAATAAAATGTTTTGTTTTTTTTTTTTTAAAGCTTCTCCAAATCCTTCTCTTAAGAATGTCAGGATGGGATATGAGTTGTAACATAAGGGGGCTGCTTGAGGCTAAATTTGGGATTCTAGGTGTGCAAAAGTCTGTTCTGCAAAAATCAAATTGATGCAAAAGATGGTCCAGAAGACACTCTGCTGTTAGTGATAAGAAAAGCTGATTAAACCCTATGGATTAGTATCCCTACTATGTTTTGGGTTTTCTTTTCCCTTTATTTTGCAGAGCAGAAGATCTGGGATTTTTTTTTAAGTAAGAAAACATTAAATTATCTTCTCCTGATGAATATTTCAGGCATAACCTCATACAATAGCCATTGCTTCCCACTTAAATATTCCAGGTTCATCTGTCCACTGCATCTCAGTGTGCTGAGTATGTGCACTTGATGCAGTGCTGAATGTTCCAGGTGGTGTGGAGTGATTAAATGTCCTACTTTTCTTTCTTTTGGTGTTTGTCCTACTTTTTTAGAGTATTCAGGTGGTATGGCCAACTGCTAACACCAATGATAGCCTTAGATATTAGTACTCTCATCCTTTTCTTCACTTATGAAAAGACTGTGTGCTGATAAATGCTTTTCAAATTCATAATTCTCATGTGGTGCCACAAATAATTTGCAAACATCTCTAACTTCCTATTTTGCAACCAAGTCTACCGAGTACAGTTACATTCATTAATGATGTTTCCAAAACAAGCTTGAATTTTTAAAATAAACCCTCTTTAGTATTCAAATGCATGTTCAGAGCAGTCAGAAAAAAAATGCTTAAATGTATGAAAGACCCGAGTATCTCTAAGATGGCTGAATGGAAATTTTCCTGTGTTCATCACCATGAAAACACATCAGAGTTAGTATAAATGAGAAATTTTGCCTCAGTTGCTAGCTGTCTTCTTGAGCCTGCTTTGGGCAGGGTGGTTGGACAGGGTGAGGTCCAGAGGTCCCATCCCATCTCCCCTGCTGGGACTGTGTAACACTCTCTGAGATTCTGGGTTGCTGATTTTTGATGTGGGGCTTTTTGAAGAGAGTTGCCCTTAGAAGAAAGAGACAGTGGAGTCAGCAACGACAGATTGTGCACGTCTCTTTTTACTTGGCTTTACTTAGAATGCAGTGGCCATTCTGAAATCCCTCCTGGCAAACACGTATGTCCTAGTTTTTAGCTGTGGCTGTCTGATCCACCCTCAAGGTAGATCACACCTGCCATGCTGCTGCATGTACCAGGTAATTCTCTTTTAGCTGTCCTAGTTTTCTGCATGTCAGATCAATAGAAGCAGGTATTAGAGTGTGTGCAATGGAAAATGAGAGGATAAAGGATTGATCTTGAGCATCCTCTAGATTATGTGCTGCAGTTATTTTTTAGGCCATGTAAAATTCCTGCTCTCTTTTTCATAACACTGTTCAGAAGAGGCTGGAATGTGTGATTTTGTTTTCTTATGATTGCAGGTGCTTTTAGTAAAAAACAGACTAATTCAAAAAACTGCTCTGTAACTCTTAAAACTTGACTGGGGAAGTGTCACCTAAAATTATCTCACAAGTTGTGTATGAAGACAGGTGAACACCTCATCCTAGTTACTCATGTCTGACCCTTATATGAGGAGTAATTTTTTATCATTCTGTCTCTACCATCAGTTCCAAGCCTGTTAGGAGGGGAAGCTTCAGATAAGTGATCATGCATGAGGCACGTACTTATTTGTTACTTTGGGAAAGTCACATCCTCAGTCATCTCAATGTAAAAGAGACAGTAGAGAGGTTTTTGTCTACTGCTTGGCACTGCCCTACAATTGATAAGGACAGAAAATCATTTAGTCTCCATTTCTGTCCAGCACAATCTGTGCCTATGTTTGCATAAAAAAGGGACCTTCCCAGTCCACTGTAGTCCTTCTGTCATCCTTGCAGCAATGGAGAACTGGGACCCCTCAGCCTGCTGGTTACTCTGGCATTTGAGACTCGTTTATGAATGCTCTGGGGGTATGGAACAGCAGTGCTGTCAGCACATCCCGTGCCATCACAGTAATTCTCTTCAGGAGCTTTCTTACAAGTGAAATGCAAATAGCTGCTTGTGCTGCAAGGAGACCACATTTAGTGCTCTGCAGGAGCCGTGTGTTCACTGCAGCGCTGCAGGTCCGTGTTCCTGCCAGACCGAGGCAGTGTTGCCTGTTCGAGTCTGCCCACATCCCTGTTTTTCACATGATTAATGTCCCTGTGACCAGAGTGACAGGGAAGAGAATCCTCACACAACCTTCAGGCTTTTGTGCAGCTGATGAGGAGAGAAACAGAATCTAAATATTTCCATGTCTCTGACTCAGCAGGAGAGATTATAGTTTGCTTTGTTTTAATTCTGCAACACCTGAACACCAAGCATGGTTTAAGCTGAGGGAGAGCCCTTTTCCTTGGTGGATGTGAGCAGCACTAACTGGATACCTCTTCAGATCAGGCTGTGGGATGGGAGCTCCTGCCTTTCGGGCACATCCATCTCTGCCTTTTCTTAATCACAAGCCACAGGCACAGGCTTTAGGCTTGGCTGCAGGCAGAGCTCTTTCCCTTCCTGCCCAGGAGGGTCCCTGGGCTAGCTGAAATCTCTGGTGGGCTTCCCAGTCTGTGTCTCTCTGCTTCTGTTCTTCTGGTTTTGTGTCCAGGGCCTGAATCTCCTCCTCCACAGTGAGTCCCAGGTCCCACTCCATTCTACCCCAGCCAATGATTTATGTAAGAGAGAGGAGCACTGCAGCCACTGAAGCCAATCAGAGAAAGTTCCTGCCTGTGAGAGCAGAGAAAGTTCATGATGGATTCCCTTGCCCTTATTTCCAGCTCTGCCTGGAGGTGTGATTCCCTGGGGCAGTCATGTCTGCAGTCAGTGCCTGCTCCACTGGTTTGGAGAAAGAACTGAATCACATTGGCAGGGTTTTTGGTTGGGTAACTCAGAGAAACTCTGCACAGGAATAATCCCTCCCTTATTCCCCCTCTCTGCTCTTCCTCGGCTCTTCCTTAAGCAGAACGTGACCTGAGCTTCACCCTCCTCAGAAGGAAATTCAGGAGCGTGCCTAGCATATTTATATGGCAAAACCCACGACCTTTACACCCTGCCCCCTCTTCCCACATCCAAGCTATTACACAGAAATATTCCCTAATTCTC